ATATATATATATATATATAAAGGAAAATATTTTAGCATTACACTAGCTGTACTATTTGTATATAGTTAACATACACCGGTAAATTCGTACGCTTCCTTGTTCCTTCTCAATAAATGGGGCTATGCGTGCTAAGTTGAGCCACAATTGTACCTTTTTTCCTCCTATTGATCTTGGATTGTGTGTTTTGGTATAACTTGGGCAACGAAGAAAAGAAACTCTACACAACTCCATGTGGACCTGTAGACGAATGAACGAAGGTGTTCTAGTGTGGCTGGCTCCAGCCAAAAGTGGCAACGATGCTCGCAGGCAAGCATCGAGGCAGCATCTTGCTTTTGAGGATGTGCATTTGATGCAGTAGGCAACACAATGTATACCGCACACCAAAAGTATGCATAGAGAACCTAACATGCATGCCCATATGCATAAATAGTATGCAGAACAAATCCGTACTACACTACATGTATATGCATATACATCATGTAATATGGATGTAAAATGTACATGTAGCATGTGCATCTGCATGTGTATGTACCTTCCATGCGCTGCCACAGAAACGAGTAAAAAGCATCTACAGTACAGCTAGGCTTAGGCTTGACTGTTGTAGAAGTATTTTGGATGTTATTTTAGACGCATATGAAGAACAGTAGAGTACTGACGAACTTATGCACAGACTTCTGCTGCCTGTACGAAGTCGTCAAGGGACTTGCCGAAGGCGTTAAGGATGCCAACAAGCTTTTTCATGTTTGTTTTCATCGCGAGCTGTCGAGCAGTGCGGTAGCCGACGCCGTAGGCGGGATCGTTGTCCCTTTCCATTTCCCCGAGTCTCCTGTTGATTACTTTCAACTCATACTCCGTCACGTACAAGTCGTATTCAGAACAACGACTGCAGTCATCGTCGTCTGCTTCGTCTTCTCCTGGCGGCAAAATAGCTTCTCCAAGCGTAATCGCTTGCGTTGCTGCCATTGAAGACTGTTCCCCAGTCTTGCCTGTGCGCCTTGTCTGTCCAGCTGTCAGCTCGCCTTCGGCTTCTGAGTCAAGAACGCCTTCAGAAATGAGCCCTGCCGCCCCTCGCGCTTTCAAGGGAGAAGCAGGAGTTGCCTGAGGCGTCGGTGCCGATGACTGAAAGGAGACCGCTTTCTTTGGCTTTTGCTCCGAGGCTTTGCTTTCCTTTGCGTTACTATTCCCTTTGTCTTCTCGGCTACGGAGGACCTGTAAGTTGCGGATAGCTTGAAGGAAAGCATGAGTTTCTTTGAGGCCGTTGACCTCCTTGACTGCCGGTTTAGTCTGGGGTTGGATTCCTCTCTTTCGGAGGGCTGCCAGCAGCTTTTCTCTCTTCCTTTGGAGTTTTTCTACTCTCAGCTGCAACGCGCAGGCTAAGATGCAGTTGCAGAGCCCTTCTTCGGCGGCCAAGTCGATCTTGAAGGACTCGCTGCCGTCGGATGCCAGCCAAATAAATGCGTGCAGCAACTCGTGCACCAGATGCCCTTCTAAGAGAGCCTCAGGCACACCCCGCGATAGCAGAATTCTTTGGACAACATGAAAGGTCTTCTTGGGGCGCGGCTGTCTGTTTGTGTTTGTTTCATCGTTGCTATCAGACTTCCTTTCGCCAGATTCCTCTTTCTTCTTTTCGTTTTCCTCTTCATAGTATGCAGCTGGAAATGTCAGGGCACGGGTTTCGCACCGCCCATACACGTTTGAGACGCCGGGGCCCTTGGCAAGCTGCATGTGCCATACAGGGGTGACGTCGAAGGGCAGCTGTGGCACTTCATCTGAGCTGTTGCTGCGCTTGCAAATGCCTTCTTCGTCTGCTTGGGGCTGCAGCAGCACGGCATTCTCCGCAACCGTCCTGGGGCTGAGCCGGACAGTGCACTCTGAGTTTTGCAGGTCGTCAGACAGTCTCAGGACTTCTAGGCAAGAACGCACTTCAGGTTGCGTGTGTGGGGCGACAAGGCGATGTGTGAACTCCAGATCAAACAAACGACGCAGCAACTGGCGGCCCTTCGTCACCATCGGTTGCAGCGCGCCTTCGTCCGCAACTGGTTTGATGAGGCGGCACTGCCCACAAGCACTCAATCCGCCAAAATTCAACAGAGGCGGAGAACAGCGCTGCTTGCCATCCGGCCCCACATACAGAAAAGGAACTGCCTTCTTACAACACGCATTGCACTGAGGCAGAGCTCGGCATCCCTCGCAGAACAATATTTTAGGCCAAGTCGATATGTAGTTCTTCGTTCGACGTAACACACTGTTGCAGTATGTACACCGAAACAAAGAATGCCCAGAGGTAAAACTCACCTCCTTCGTCTCCTCCACCTCCGCCCAGCCCACCAGACAGGGCTCGCGTTGTTGCGAACTTTGTGAAATTCCATCCAAAACTACAGACTCACCAACAGGGTAACGATGATGCCCCCCTAGTATGCCGGTACCTGCATGTACGCCAGCTGCTGCTGCTGCTGCTGTTGTAGCAGTAGCAGTGGCTGCTGCTGCAGCTTGGGCTGCAGCAGCGGCTAGCGCTTCTGGCGCATATGTAGTGCGGCGGGTGTGGGCAAGCGGCTCCTCAGGAAGGCTATACTGCAATATTTCGTCCTGGTGAGGCAGTCGGGGGGCTGATGTTGTGCGCTGCAGCCGCTGCTCCGCTGCCTGCTGAGGACTCCACGCAACAAAGGAAGAATCCTGGCGAGAAGGGGGCACGAAGGTAAAAGACTGCTGACGAGAGGGAGAAGGCGAATTTGCAGAGACAGAAGAAATTGACGAACTAGAATTCGTACGGGAGCCCCACGGAGAACCCGCGGCGGACGCAGGTAGAGAATTGCAGTCGCGGTTAGCTGAATAATGCCCAAAACCAGGAGGAGGAACAAAAGGGGGTCTGGTTGCTCCTCCAGGTATTTGTTTCCTTCGCGTTTGCAAACTTGCCAGAAGCATTTGGTCAGATAAGGAGGGGCTAGAAGCCCGGAAGGGCGTAACAGGAGCGGGTCCTGCTCTTCTTCCCCCCTGCTCCTCCGCCCCAGGGCGGTACTCCGAAGAGTTTGCCTGACCCATCCCAGAAAGCAGCGAAAAATTTCAAATTGAACTGAACAGAGACAAAATTTCAATGGGAAAAGCTTTGCTTATAAACTCGTGGGTTATACCTTCAAGCTATACCTCAGTTCAAATTTATGTTGACCGTTGCGAACGCCGCAGCTCGAAACAAACGATAAACGGGAGGGAATCTGGGATTATATGTGGATATTATGGATTAAATGCGTCTTATAAATGCACCGGGTTGAAGAAAAAAGGCGAGAACAGGTGAATATTAGGCGCATTTGCCCAATATGCTGCTGCAGCGTTCACCAGTGGGAGCGGACTGGCAGCCGCGGCCGCGACTCGCGGCGAGGACGGCTTTAACAGCTGAAATGGCAAAAAACTTCGGCCAATATTAATTAATCTAAATTGCGTTTCTGTCTCACTCAACTGTTTTGAAGGTATATCGGGCACCTCTTGAATGCACTTTGCCGCCGTTTGCGGCTCCAGGAGCCGTCGAACCAGACCGTCGCGGAGGTCGAAAACTCTACAGAGGAAACAGAACCAACTCTAGAACAACGTAACACGCTGCAAACCAAGTCATTTCCCATCTAAGATCCAAACTACAGAAATACCCCATTTTTCAGAAGATCAAATGCCGGGGGCATTTGATCTGAAAAAATCGTGTCAGAACAAAAAATCGATTTGCGGCGATGTGCAAATTCTGCTTTCTTTGCCCATGGCAAAGTCCATCATCGCTTAAATCAAAACAACATTTGGGTGGAAGTGTGTTCCACTAAGGAGAAGCAAAATGCGGGAAGAAATGCAACCACGAGAAACTTTTTGTAGGAAAAGACGTAGATTGGATGAATGCAGGTGGAACGAGCCGCTTTGTTGCGGAGCCGCTCACCGTACCTTTATATTTGCCTCCCCATTTTTTTGCTTCTTGCTTGTCGCGACCCGTTCGACAAGTAGTTAGGAAGCATCGCAGATGGTAAGCAACAGTAGCAGGTGCAACAACCAACAAACTTAATCCATACAAAAAAGTATTTGCCTTCAGCCAAATCGAATTCGATAGGCAACGGACAGAAGGGAACAAATGGTTGTGTGGGTTGGATTTACCCGCCGCTCCCAGAGAACATCCTTGATAGCAAATAAAGCGTGAGACGGATGCAACAGCAGTTATTTTCACCACAGTTAGAAACAGATAGGTGACGCACATGACAGCGTGGGCCACAAAAGGGGTATACTCATAGACATCTGGACAGAAATCGGCACTATATTGTAAAACCTGCATGAAGGTAGGCACTTAAAGCAAACCATCATCTGGGCTGAAGCCAGTTAGTTCCGTTGCATAAACCGGCCGACAAAAAGTACAAACCTAAACTGGCATTTCAACTCCCATTCCAGTGAAATGCCGCTCATGAAAATTTTTATCTGCTCCATTTTGTGGAGAAATGTGGACGAAAGAAGCCACGGATGCCGGCTTGTTTTAAGGAGAGTTAGGTTGTACGACCGACTCATCCGGTTTATAAACGCAGTACCACGGTCTACACGCATAAGGCACAATAATGGACTTTCAGGGAAAATCTGGAGATAGGAGAATGCAGGTAAAACAACTTAAAACACTGTATGAAGTGATTGAAATAAGTTTATATTGCTGTTTCCTTAGGAAGCAACAGCACCCACATATTCCAACAAGCTGCTCAATTCTTTCGAATAAAGAACACCTCTTCAGTCAGAGAGGCGCTCGAAAACCATAACACACGCTTTGTCACGATCTAACAGGGGATATTTGCCGTTTATTCGCAAGCACTCTTGAGCGTTACAGTCGTCCTGAAGGATCCGCTTCAGATTTTCCTGTAGTGCGCCTAAGCAGTGGTGCCTTTCGTTCGTAAGTTTGATGTCTACCCGGAATGGGATAGTATATTCCATTAAACCTGTGTTATAGGATTAAATCCTACGCGAGCTTGGTGTTTGCAGCGCGACTAAATATTCAGACTGGGGTTACACAAGAGATTACAGGATCCCAAGGCTCCCACTGGGTATGGTCAACTCCCTGAAAACCTGCAGTTTCGCTTTTGAACTAATGTGCGTTTTCTTACTTCACTCCGACTAGTCGTTGAGGTTTCCGCTGCCCACCGCTGAGTCGGCGCACCGCGCGTTGTGTTTGCTGGCACTCATCACTGCACACAAAGGCACCGGCTTCCCGCCCTTTCAATGAATAAATACTTGTTTCTCTTGCACACGTTTTCGGATTTAATTGCCGTTTGGAGCCGAAATAGAGAGAATACTGCAAAGAAGTCGAGAGTGTTCGCTTCTCCCCACTTGGGGCCCCATGGGCTACGAAAGCATCGACAGCAGCCAGTAGCACGAGGTTGTGGCGTTGTGGGGCCGCATTGCCATAAAGACATTAAATACATTAGCAATATATATAGTTCTTGTCACGTAGGACGTCTCATGCAGTACAACCAAATGCTTCAGAAGTTCCTTTTGACTCCTGGCGTCGGCGATGTAGCCGCTCGCCGGCTGCTGGACGCCTGTAACAGGCCTGCGCAGGTGGTTGTTGGCCGGCGCTGTGTCTTTAGCCGTCTGCCTTTCTGCAATTGCATTCACTTGAGGAGTATTTTTAATTCAGAATGCCGAAGGGGAAAGTCGGGGGCGCCGGTGTGGCCTCCTGTGCAGCTGACTGTGCAAACCTCAGTACTTCCATCTCCTTCCAGGGCACGGCTGCATTTTTCAGCTAAGTCCACAGAGTCTTCGCCTCTTGATGAGACGCATGCAGTGTCCTTGGACAGCCCAGAGATGAGAGGAAGCACCGCAAAGGGTGCGCAGAGAGAGGGAGGCCAGCATGTGAAGTGGCAGAGGGCGCAGGCGACGGATTGCCAGCAGCCCCAACCTGCGTCCTCCTCTGCCTGCGGCCTCAGCTATTCCAAGTTCGTGAGAAAATGTTCTGACTGGTTGACAGATCGACAGCTGGAGCGCGTGGCAGTTCGCCTTAAGGCGTACAAGTGCCTTAAGAAGGCGCCAAGGCCTCACAACAAGCTAGCCGCTGTTCGCGACATCGGGAAGATCGTCCCCAGTGAGTCTTAGGATCATGTCCAAGGAATTCATTTAGCCACTTACGTGATATAGATCGGGCCCAGCATTTTTCCAAGTCCCCTCAGTTTTGGCCTTGACATTGCTTGACATTGTTCGATTCGGTTGTGGGCTGCGCTCGTGGAGGGAGGCTAAACGGGAGCGCTCAACCGAACTTATGATCAGGTGTTTGTTTCTGCCTTTAGAGGAGCACCGAGGAGAGTTGATGAAACTTCTAGCAGATAGTCTGGACCTTGTAGACCCTCACCACTTCTTGCGCTTGTCGAAGGCTTCCTCAGACCGCATCGCCACCGTACGCCCAGCGTAGCGGCCCCGTGCAGTACTTTTTCACCAGACAACGAAACAGAGACTGTAGCAAAACACATACTAGCAAAGGAAGGCCTCGGGTTTGGTGGGAGCTGGCACTCCCCTGCCTCTGAATGATGTCCGTTGTCCTCAATATGCACGCAATATGTATTTTGTGTGCTGGCTGCAGCAGGACGAAGTGGGCGATGGGATGCCTCAATCCATCATGGGTGACTACACAGTGGGTGCGGAGCTCCTTCGTTCTCAAGAACATCGCCGAACCAGGGTTTCGCAGCGCACTTCCTCATCAGCTCAGGCTATATGGGAGAACAATTTGCACTCCCCAGACCCTCTGGCAGACGATTCCCAACATCACCAGCGGGAGATAGCCATGCGACCCCCAACCCCAACACGCCTGACAGAGGCAAGCGAAGTTCCATCTAAGCGAATCCAGTTCAAACGTACACGGATGCAAGCACTTTCAGCGACCATAGACGGGACGCCGTTGCCCCCACTCTCGTCCACTGCTACATCACCTGCTGTGGAGTGCGAACTCAGAAACGAATTGGGGAATTTGTAGTGGACTGGCACGATCATTCCATTCCCGAAAGGGGCAGCAGATCCAAGAATCTTGTCTTCCTGTCAAATCTCCCCCATGCTCCTCGACATATTCTCACGGATGTTCTCTGCAAGGTACTGCGGCGATATTTGTTTTGCCTGCTCCCTTTTGCAGGAAAGGACATGTCCGTGGAAGAAATGAATAGTTATCTGTGTAAATTTTGCGCAATTACGCTGCAGGCGTTTTCCGGCTGTGGGAAAATCAAGAAGCTGGAAATATTTGATGACCGCTTGCGGACTCTAGATCAAACAGAGGATGTCAGTCTCTGAGCCACCGTCCCTTTGGATTCTCAGAGTGCTCCCAAAACATAGCTAGGCAACAAACGAGAACACTCCTGCATGTGCCTTGATTCCGTTTGTTCAGAATACACTGCAAGCCAAAGGGGAACAAGCCATTAGAGACAAATTAGAGAGACGGTTTTCCCCGATTTTTGCACTAGCCGGTAAGGTTATACCCTTCTGCGGTTTAATCAGTGTCACGGTAGTCTTCAAGGGGGCGGACTCTTGCATGTTGATCTGCGTTACACTCGTTCGTATGTGTCGTATGTGTGCCGTTTCCACTGCCCTACAGAATTCAGCTCGACTCAAGAAAAACAGAATGCATGCCGCACCTATCTTCGCACTTTCGGGGTGCCATGCATCGACCGGCTGGTGTATCCCGAGGACGCCGCAGTCAAGACAACGCTTATTGCAACGAACTTGCCGTTTATCCTTACGCCGGATGGTAAGAGGATACGCTGCATTACTGCTGCAAATTAGGTGAACCTGAATAAAAAATCTTGTACACGGCTAGACGTGTACGTGTGTCATTGTGATGTCTTTTTCTACAGAAGTCGCCCGTATACTATCGTTTGCACTGGTCCGCGATGCAGTGGCTCCTGTTGAGTATCCGGCAGTTTGCCGCATCCGAATGACGAACCCAAAGCTGTTCGGGTATGAACAGCTGTTTGTCGAGGCCCGTTCAGATGCAGCGGAACCCTTCTTTTTGTTGCCACTGCACAAGAAAACGCACAGCAATGAGGCTGTTGCCCATAACCCATGTGTGGAGTATAGCAATTTCAGAGATAATAGGTTTTCGTCCAACGGAAGCGCAAGGACAAGTAATGTGTCAGTGTGGAAAACCAATTTTGACTGCTGCGCAAGCGACGCCTTCCTCGCTTCTCCCAGTAGCCCAGTCATGGATAGTTGTAAACGGGTTCTACTGTACAGTTCGTCAGAGGCCCATGGCAACCAGAGCTACTGTGAACCATACAACATTGTGTCGGCCAGACCTGACGAAAGTATCTTCATTCCACGGCTGCGGACAGAGGTGCTTTTGCCATCCCCCTTGCCAGTCTTATTCCTAAGGAAATTAGTCGAAGCTGAACTGGCCGTTGCATGACTTAGAGTGTCATCTACACATCTGTTTTTTCATCTGTTTTTACCGTTCAGGAAGAAACGCGAGACCACCAGAACGCTGGCAGACGCCCTAGTTCCCCTGGGAAAGCGTCTGACCTTGGTCGCCACATTGTAAAAAAGTTTGTTTCCTACACGGTCCTACTACTGCTACTGTTCATTGAGGCTTTTGCACTTCACATCACGGTCATGCCTTGATAGTCTCCTGCACTTTAATGTGTGGGCTGTTTCGATGCAGGGTTTTGACGAACCGCCTAGTCCTGAACAACGACGGCCTATTTGTCCTGCGTTTTGCTTCTTTCGAGGCGGCGGAAGCGGCAGTACGACGGTGCAGAGGAGCTGTTATATACGATTCGAAGGCGTTACTGCTCTTTTCCCCTCGACGATGCGTTTTTCACAACGGTAACTTCCCTAGGTTTTCAACTACCCAGGACTATGTTCAGTGTAATTGCTCGTTCGTGAAAACAGTAATTTGCACTGTGTGTGACTGTACTCGTAGGGCAACTTGTAGATTTTGTGATACCGGAGGGCAACTTTGCTGCGGAATCTAAGCATTTTGTTGCAAGAGGGTAGTGCATGTTCAGATATTTGTGTTCTAGATGCTCAAGTATAGTGCACCGGTGCACTCTTAAAGGGAATCGCTCGGAGTCCTCTTCTTGTCGCAGCGACTGTTAGTAAACTAGCTTCGCTATCTGACAGCACCGTACACAACGGAAAAGCTAATTAGTGGGATAGTACGTTAAGGGAGAGCCCCAAGCAGCAATAATTGTGCTCGAGTCCCAAGAAGCATTCTCGAGTTTGTCGATTAGAGGATCTGGGGGGTTCTTCCTCCAGCCAGGAACATTGGTATGAGAACGATCGACAAGAGGAAGAACACGCCTCCAATCGAACCGCACCAAAACAGAGAGACCTGAAGGTCCGTTTTTGCGAAGGGGTCATAAACGCACTTAGATTCTTTCGTTGGAGCCTACCGTGATAAACGTGGTCCACCAGGGTACCGGGGCGGTTACTTCGCAAGTTGTAGACATGTTTATCTGGCGTGATGCTGATGAATGGTACAGGCGATCCAACGAAAGTCAAGTAGGACTCACCATTACGGTTCCGGCAGCCATCCAAATAAATGCAAGAGCCAGAAGAGATATTTCAAACCACAGCTGACGGTGCAGGGATGGACAGACTGTTTACTAAATGCAAATGGAGTGATAATCGGCGTACAGTTGCTGGGAAGCCCAATTGTTTCTTCATCCTGTCGGCCGCGTAGGTTGCTGGTAAGCTCTGTGCTTATGTACTTCACTGTTACTTTTTTTGTAGGGAGTTGGGAAGCTTACGAGCATGATAGCCCCGACGAGCCAGAGATCTGAATTAAGCAACTTAAGGCATGTTTGCGCAGTGCAGGCGAAATATCCTACGCTTACTTAGTGGGACGTCACATGGTCGCATAAAGTTAGTGACGACAACTGCGGCGAAGTACAGGGCGGTTGCCCCCGATACGGCGGTCAAAATTGTTGCCTGACAGATTATACGGATGCAAAAGGTTATTGCACAACCTCCCACGGCGGTATTCGGCAAGTGTCCTCCATGGGATCGGCCATTCTTCGGGCTTGTGGCAGTCTTACCGCATCTGAAGGTGAAGGAGATGATCGATCAGTTTACAGTTGAAAGTCTAAGATCAAGGCAACTTACATTTGAAGGTTTCGACTTTAGCCTTTGCTCCAGATGGATCCCTCATCTTCGTAAGTTTTGTAGAGGATCCAATGTTCGAGCAGAATAGAAACGCGCGATAAAGGAACCGTGCAAAAGTGAAGAAGGAAGTCGCGCTTAACTTAGCCAAATGTGACGAGTCGCCATGTTGCCGACGTACTGTGACTCTCAGGTGTCGGTACACCTAATGTGCCTCTCTCATTTATGCGAGGCACGTTTTTCAGAAAAAAAGTTTTATGTTTGCCATCCTAACTAATCTTCTAACAGACTATTATTGCTGCACCGAAGCTGTCACGCATCGTGATCCTAGTTGGTTCGTAGGCATTCAACCTGAATACTCAGGCGAATGGCACCATGACGCGCACTAAGCGCCTATGCTTCCTATTTCTCACACGATATAAACGTGTAACACTTCTAACACGATATAAACGTTCTGGTCCCTCAAGGACGAAGTTACCCTGACGTGGGACTTCCCGTTCATAGCGCGATTTCATTACTATCAACTCTTCCCATTCGAAAATAATGAAACGCTATTCTTGAAATGCACGGTAGCATACTTGCAAGAGACCTTGCAAGCAAACTTGCACTGATGATGAATACTTCGAAGCTACGGAGCCAAGAAGGGCCGTATAAAAATTTCCGCTGCAGAGGAAATCTGGCGGGAATTCGTCTGCTGCGTTGCGGCATATGCACGCAAAATAGACAAGTAATCCCAAACGTTTTTTTAGAAAAATTCCCGTATTCTAAGTTCTGACAGCTTGTTCACGTGTACTTGTGGATGGGTCTGGTGTGAAACATGCAAGATCAACAGCACTTCTGCGTCCCAAATGTCTCCGCCCAAAGCGGAGATGAGCAAACTCCATTCTGTCTTGAGGAGTGACACTCGCGATCTTCCTGTGTGCTTGTCCATCTTCATCACGGCCCTAATTCGAAGCAGGACGTTTGCAAACACGTATGCAACGACACGCTTGGAACCCCGGAGTGACTAAGAACATCCCATAACACTTGAACTAGTTTCACGGGAACTAATAATCTGCTGCTACAAACGGAGGGAGTGCGTCTGCGCATCGTCCTTGTTCTGGCTTTCCAAGGAAAGGCAGCTATCATGCCACATATACTACCTCGTTTGGCGATGCACATTAACGGGAGACTGAATAGGGTAGACACACGTGGCAAGAATGCCAAAGGCTCAGTGTTCGTGCTGAATTGCAAGGCACCAATATGGCAAGTTAACACCAAACGTAGTCATTCGATAAGACCCCTTTGGGAAATAACAGTAGTGCTGGAGTTTAAATGCTTATCCGAGGAAACAGCCACATGTGGTCTGAATACTTTGCATGGCCGACGAGAAGCGTCCAAGAGGAAGAGGCCGCTCCAATTCATCGAAATCAATATAAACTTCCTCCTCTTCCTTGAGTGTACGATCACCCAAGATTCTAGCATACAAATCATCTTGCTCCGGTGAACTGTTGTCGAGCGTCGGATATTCGAGATTATCAACATCCCACGAGAAGTCTGAAATATGCTTATTCCGTTTGCCCTTTGCCACGCGCTCTGCTATTACCCTTCGCTCTGACGGGTAACTCTGAGCTTTGCTCTTTCGAAGGAAACTCGGGGGATTCCTTCGCCTGGAGCGCAAACACACAAAGGCCTCAGCGTACAGGGTAAGAAGAGAGCAGGGCAGGAGAGTCCTCACACCTTCTGTCGTAAACGACTTACAAGTTGCGCAGTGCTCGCCGGCGATCCTCAGCTAGCGATATGTCGACGGTAAGAACATGATCTGCAGAGTAAAAAGCAAGTAGAGAGGCACGCAATTGCAAATGGATAGCCTGTCTACACCGAGGTGCGAAGTCGAAACAAGGTAGTTGATGGTGGGCCAGTGGCTGAACAAAAAATGAGTCTTGTTTCAAGTATAGGTATTTCTTCTGCTAGAGGGGACATGCGTTTTCCGCAGAGTCAAAATTAATGGTTAACGTCCCTCTGAAACGCACCCACGCATAATGATACTGAGGCGTCCATGTTCTTAGAGGCATGCTCGAGGATTTGGCGCATCTGGTTGTCTTCCTCCGTTGTTGCCTCACGGACAGCATCTTCCCCGTTGTTACCTTTTTGCTGATCTTTCAAGGCTTCTTCTTCGAGCTTGCATCTGCAGACGCATACGCAGAAGGTGTAATATCGGGGGCAGATGAAACGAACGCTAAGTCATGCAAAGTGTGCCCGTGAACGACGGTATTGAGAAAAGGAATGCCGCAGGCCAGACCATGAAGAGTTAAACGGCAACCAATGTTAACGAACAGCACCTGCTGGTCTTAACGGCAAGCAAAGGAGTGTTTTGTTCGCCTATGTCTGTGCTTGCTTGTGCGGAGTAATTGACGAAGTGTTGGGCGTGCGTGAACTCCACCTGAGAGCTTTGATTTCCTCTTCAGCCTCTTCCCGAGCCCTCTGCATGAGTATGTCGCGCTCTCCTCTTGCACGCTCGACGATTCTCTTGGCCTGGTTCGTGGCTCTTTGAAGCAACTGCATGACTTCCACCTCCTGCTCCACACTCGACATGCCGACCTGCTGGGTGGGGTGGTGCAGAATGTGCGGGAGATGGAGGTGGCGCAAGTGAAGAGGGAGGTGCAGAGAGTGATCAGCTGCACCGTCGTGGCCGGCTGCTGCTTGTGCTGTGTAGTTATGGTGGGCTGTGTGAAAGCGCTGGCGTAAACCGTAGAATCCCCTCTTTGCATGATCTGCCTCAGCGGACACGGGGCCCTCGTTGGGCTGTTTTCCCCCGCTTGGTATTTTTCCCAGCCGCCCCTCTCCGTTTGACTGTGTCTGGTTGCCTTGATCTCTCGTTGCTATTTTGCTACTATCGGACCGCATCTTCGGAATGACCTTGGTTGAGAGGCTCGAAATTGTTCGCCGAAAAAATGAAGGCCGGGGCTCCATTGCAGTCGTGGGAGAAGCCCCGTGAGCAGCGGCAGAGACCAGCATGACGCGGTTCGATGGCGTAGCGCCCTCAGTGGAGTCGCACTGTTGCTCATCTTTGTGTTCGCCATCCAAACTCAGGTGGTCCCTCGATACCTGCGCTGGGTTGGACGCCACTGCAGCTGAATCCTGACTTGCATTTTGATTGGCCTTTGAACGGCCCCGTCTGAGCCAGAAAGGCATCTTTATAGAAGAATAGGGCCTGAAATCTACGCGAACATCCGCCTACCCTTCGCGAACACCACACACAACGGCCATAGACCGGACCGCTTCCAGTTGTTGGGAGCTTGAGGAACCCCTACGTTACATAATGCGCTTGATGCCCGGCAAAGAAACGAAAATGCATCTATATGGCCAGAAAGAAAGAGAATGATGAGGTTAGGAAGCTGCTCCACGGGGCTCCTGAGCCGTATCTGGTCTGCACGTCCTCGCCTCAGCACAACAGCATTCGTACCTCGAGGGGGGCATTATTGAGCATACGAGCACAGCCCCCGGCGAACCATACTCAACACTTAACGAATATTATTATATAAGTGGTAAAAGCAGCCTATTTTTCGTTAAGGCCAAAAATTCGGCTGTAGAGCAGCTTCGGACCCACTCCCTATCATCACATGGGCTAACTAGACGGACAGACGGACGGCTTGTGGCTTCGGCAGGGCCACCAGGCGGCACTCTTTCGCAGTATACAGCAAGTATTCACAAGCTTTGTGGTTAAGCATTGATGTGTTTGCTCTATATATCTTCGTTGACGCATATCCGAAAGCATGGAACATGGCCCCAGTGCGCGCCACTGATGCCCAGAATAACGTCAGCTTCGGCGCCCAGCCAGCAAGTAGGGAGAGCGGATTAAGAGTGGCGTAATTAATTCAGTTGAATTGTTACTCCAGGTGCTGCGTGCAGCTGTTAATTGCCTCTCAGTGCCCTACCGCAGCTGAAAGTCACTTCTGTGGAAGTTAGCTGGATGTTTTTTAGGCCCGTGTAACTTGTACTCGGTTGTTTGAGGCCTTTCATTGTGCTCATGAGACCGTGTATAAATCGTAGCAACACCATCGGACATGGGCTCCAGAGGTCACATAGGAGCTGAACGGCTAGCAGTAGTATGAGCTGAACGGCTTTCCTTTGCAACTACTGAACGATGTTAACCCCTGCACTCTACTGGGAGAGGCTGCGGCGTGTAGCAGAAATAATGCATATTCCCGGGGGGACCACGCGGTGTAACTCGATCCCATGGAGCTTTCTCTATCGTTCACTACCTGCAGTGCGCCGTAGCTAGCTGCAGCTAACTTCCCAGAATAGTCGGCAACAGCAGCAACTTCTACTGAGCAATGTGACTACAGATTATGATGTGCCATTGAAGAAGACCGTTCTATGTAAATGGAATTCTGCTGAATGTAACCTCAGCATACTGAAACTTTAGTTCGCCCAGTTAAATGGTTATGCCCCTCAAAGCACTCGTTCCTCTGAAGAGTTGTTTTTTGTGAATTACTGTGACACATCTTATGCCTCATCTCCTTCTTCCACAAGCACAATAAATATGCCGAGCAGAAAGGACACGCTGCAATAACAGGGATCGAGAGGCCAGGATGTGAAGCCGTTGTCAAGGCAGAGACACGGGCACCACTGCACCAGTACAGCCATATTAAGGAAAGCTCTACCTAAGTACTAGTGAGCCTTGCGCTAAGGGAAGGTACCTCATTCCCTTCGATCTCCACATTCTAAGCGGTGTTGCGTGCATATAGTGTGCCGGGTACAGGGTACACCAGACACTGTGCACTTTCCAGCGCTTGACGTATTTGCCCGAGTCAATCGTTGTGGGTGGACCCAATGCAGGAAAGGGAGTCACATTCCAACTGGCTGTTTCTTTCGGGCATCTTCCCAAACGGAGCCAGCGAACTTCGGAACGAAGGCTCAAAGAACGCAACAGACACTAGCATCAAGGGCACACGATAGCACAAGCTAAAATGGGCAATGCCTCCATTTCCCCCAAGGCTTTTACACTGCAGTTGTCTGGTAGGTGCACTGAAATTTGTTTGTAAAGGAGTCTTGACGGGATGGGCAGTTGATTTAATCTAAGAAGGAACCAAACATACATCTTTCTGCTTCTGAACAGAAGTCGTCATACAGCAGGAAGTCCGTTGAAACATCTTTGTGTATTTCCACTTTAGTAAATCCCTCTTCCACTGTCGGTGGTTCCACATTTGCATAAAAAGTATTCACCACAACTTTGGGTACTTTCACCAAACGGTATCGTGACACAGACGACGAAGTCGCCGAACTAGCCGCCTCGCGGCTGCTGCTATTTCTTAAGGCTGTTGCTAGGCTTCTGAAAATGCCCAAGTGCAAACAAACCTCTTTGGGCCACAAGAGAGCTATGCCCCGCACAGTGCAGTCTCCCCTACCGTGCGTTTTTGCGAGTTGTATGAATATCTCTCGGTCTTCTTTGGTTGTGTTTTGTCTGTCGACAACAACGCTTTTTCCTTCCCGAAGAAGCTGAGCACAAACCTCCACGCATTTGGCCTTCACCTTCAGGTCGTCCTGTCGCACAACTGCGTGCTGCGGAAACAGCCGGTCCACGAGAGTGCTCTTCCCACTTCCGGGGGCTCCTATCAGAATAACTAGCTCCTGCGAGCTCTTCTGCTGCTGTTGCTGCTGGCATTCTTCAGCCTCCTTTGCTGTGTCTGCACCTCCTTCCATGGTTTTAATGCGTCGCTGTTGTTGCAGGTCTCCCGCCTGCGTGGTGCTGCTGCTTAAGAGTTCAATTGGGTCGAAGACCAGACTTGTAATACTAGTGTCTGATTTGTCCTTGGAGCTCTTCTTTCTGTCTGTGACCATCACCAGTTGCTGCGGTTCGTTTCCCACTACTGCCCCGTGCAGTCTTCGGCTCAAAAGAGGCAAGTGCGGCGCTCCTTTGCCACCGAAGAACTGCTCAGGTGTATAAAAATGCATTCCAACGTTCAATGCTAACTTTAGATCTGCAGCGCTATGATCGCCTGGTCGACCTGCGGCATCCCCAACAAAGAAGACCCGAGGGTAATCGTCACACCCCAAAACAGAGGCAGCTGGACAAGCAGTAGCAGCCTTAGTAGTGGCTGTAAAGACAGCGAGCTCTGGCTGCTGCTGCTCCTGCAACAACGGCAGCAAATCTTTGAAAATGAAGGAAGCAGCTGCCGGCCGCGGTTTCCTGTAGATGTCGTCGGCACAGCACAGACAAGCCGTAAGAGGAACCTGCAGCAGCCGCTGCACTGCGTCAACTTTCGCCGTCAACTCCGCGAGGGAAACATGGCCGAGAGAAACGCCCAGCTGGTTCGACAAAATAAATATTGAATACCCCTGCAGACCCCAAATGCAATCAAACAATTGACCCTCTGTCTTGATAAACCTTAAACAACAGCAGCAAGTCCCTTGTCCATCAATTCACTACACTCACACCGACCATGTTAGAAACGCAAACAGACGAGGGCGAATGCCATCTGCGCCAGGGGAGGTTTTGTTTGCTGAGCTATCTTACTCTGTCGTGCAGGCGACGGAGTTGGGTGCGTATTTGCTGTTCAAAGAGGAATTTCCAGTCGTTTGCGTCTACAGGGAACTTCTTGCCGCTGCGGGTGGTGATCAGCGTGCCATCTAGGTCAAAGATCGCAACGGGACTGCAGCTGCATCTGGCTTTATTGAGGCCCCCAGACGCATCAGAAATAGCATCGGCAGCAAAAGGAGGCGTTTTACTAAGTCTGCAGCAGCTCGGGAGGCTGAAATACACCTGAGAGGCGTGCATGTTGTGCAGGCGGCAACATGCTTGCGCTTTCTGTGAATCCTTCCTCTGCACACACGAGTCGTACAGTCGAGCCGATGAGGCACCGTAATGGCGCCACCAGAGAGAATTGTCCCCCGCTGGGTGCCAGCAAGCAGACGACGGCTCGAGTACCGTCGGTGCTAGGGGTCGTTTTCTACGCATCTTGTGGGGTACTGGCTACAGAGCACTTTAACTGGCCATAACCCGCATGCAGCTTGAAATGCAGACAACGGCTGAGCTGATGTGACGAACAAGTGAAATACGTCTCCTCCCTGTGCACCGTTCAAAGCCGTAGCAGCCACTTTGCAGCTGCGGAGGTAGGCACTGCCTTACGACTGGCGCCTGTGCCCTCCCATTGAAAAGAACGCCAATGATGTTTCCCAGCAAATGAAAACCAAATGAGTCGGAAAAAGCGGAAAAACATGGAGTCCGTAGGAGTCAAATCTGCGAAAAGCCCGAGACCTCAACGACCACGTCTGGAACAAGAAACTGGCAAAGAGCACCATCAAAACTGAACAATATGTGACCAGTCACCAATTTTTACGATTGTTTCCCTCTAGGCTGAATATAATGTGTGTGTACTGTAAGTTCGAAGGACAAATAGGCCATGGAGCTCTCCGTGTGTCTGTCGAGTGGCGGTAGGCAGTTCCCATGGTCTTCAGTCCATGGGTCTGTACATAATAAAAAGACGGGAAGAAGGAAGCTTATCAAGTGTTTAACCAGTCAAAATTTGACCACATTTGCACCGCTATCGTTTGTATGCAAGTACTAGTATGAAGTAGTGACGAAAATTGTCTGCATGGCTTGCTGGCGTCAAGAGGACCGCTCGTCTTCATATTATATATT